AACTAGCTGATTTTCAACAACTCTTAACTTGCATTAGGATTAATTAGAATAAAATTATCTATTTTACATGTGATTTTGTCAGTCTCTTATTTTACATACAGTAAATAGTAGTATCGCCCTTTTTGTCCGTATCTATTAGTACTTTATCATTAAATTTTAATAGAACTACTATATGTTTTTTCAGTCATTTCAAAGTAATGAGACCTATGAATCCAAACTGTTTTGCCACATGCTCTGCGCAGTGCACACTCCTTGCTATTGGATATTAATACTAGGCATATTTGATCCTCGCACTGCTCCATTATAACCCTTTAGAGGCCCGATGCGGAATTTGTTCATTCTGTTCGTTAACAGGTGATATGCTGTAAAAACGAAATGAGTTTTTAATGTGTGAAAAGTTTTAGGAGACATAAAGCTTGCCTAAAACGGCGAGCTGCACTGAATAATAAAGTAATAATTTAAACACATTTGCCATGTCCTGTCGAAACGTTAGTGAACTTACACTTAAATGTTAAAGACTTTTTAATTAATTAAGCGAAGTTCTCTTACCTGCAACAAGCAAAAGGCTTTAGGCCTCTTTTCTCCGGTGAGGCTGTCTTCGCAAACAGAAAGTTAACCAGCTAAACGTGAACAGAGCTGGAACGAGCCTGGCATATTACAATCTACTAGTCTATGTCGTTCACCAGTTTCCTACGCTCCTCCATCAGTCAAGCTCACGGCGCTAACACGAAGTGCTTCCGGTATTAACACAAACTTCACTGATCTTGAAAACAAGGCACCACGATGGAAATGACTATAACGAAACAATGTAACGTAAAATAAGCAAGCGGTGTTCTGAATGTTCTTCTCAAACGATGGAAAATGTGAGAACTTCCCAAATGCTACCTATAAAAGAAAACAGTAGGCTATAATGTCACTTTTCTGAGTTAGTCTTTTTACATTATAAACCTTATTTTTTACTGGAGGTACACAGCTCAGTAAAACGTATTTAAGGATGAATCATTTCTTGAATTTAAGTTGAAGTTCCAGTTGCAGACAGTGAGTCACCATCACCAGAGAACATATTTAAAAGAGCTTCATGTGAAACTGTTGAGTAAATATTGGATTAAAGGGTGTGTTAAAGAAGTGTTAAGAAAAAAAAACGAATACTGGAGCAACAAACTCTGTGATCCGGGTTTCACACATTTTATTATTCACATGCTTACTTAGAATTAAAGAAGTTCTCTCTCAATAAGCATTTAAGGTGATTTTTTTATTTATTTTCCACCATGTGAAAGAGTAAACAAGAGGTCAGTTATAGGCTGGGCTTGTTCCCGGACAGTTCTCCCATTACAGGTTACTCCAGGCTCACATGACAACGAGCAAACTACAAGATGCAAAAACAAAAAGATGCAAAGAACTAAAACAAGTAGTAAATACAAACTTTAAACAAATAAATACTAACAATATTTTATTCCTTTCAGGTTATCCAAAACAAGAAGCTTGTGTGAAAAATTATCATATCTTGTACACACAGCACCTCAATGAGGTGAAAATACTGGTAATACCAGAACCTGTGCCATGTGGAGAGTTACAGAGTTACAGACTAAGTTCTGGGATCAAGTGACAAAAGTCAAACACGAATTTAAGACCTCAGATCGTGTGGTGCTAATCTCCATGCTAAACCGTAACTCTATTTTTAAAAAATCCAAACAACAAAAAAAACTTAATAATGAAAACTGTGTCACAGTATAACAAAGGTGTGTGCTAGTCACTGGTATATTCCTCGATGAGCAAGTCCTCTTCCTCCAGAAGGACTTGGCTTGTAGCGGGTCGAGGCTGACTGGATGGCAGACCCTCCTCAACTGCACCCTGCCCTTCCTCTCTCTTCTCCTCTTCCTCCTCACTGTCCATCTCCAGCTGGCCTGGCTCTTTGTCTGTCAGAGCCTCCAGTTTTAATCTGTGCGCATACACATGTATACACACACACACACACACACACACACACACACACACACACATAAAACAATATATTAAAAAATACACTGTTGTGGAAAAAGTGCTGTTTGAATTAATAACAGATGTACATGTTCAACATAATTCTACATCAGTGTAAAATATATCTTAAACCACAGGTTTCTATAGTAACAACTGGTGCAGCTTTGGTTTTAAATGTACAAGCTACAAAATGAAATCAATGGGTTGCTCAACAAAAGAAAAATGACTATGTTTCAAAAGAATCCAAAATTATCAATCCAACAAATAAGACATGTTGATAAAACTATTTATTATTATTTTAATACCAATAGAGAGATATAAGGTACAAACACGAGGACATTCTATTTTATATATCATGTTTTGTGGTTATTATTACTGTATTTTTCCATTTTCTATTATCAGTGCATAGCTCATTCTCATGTGTTGTCTGTTTTTGAATTCATTTTGGTGTCTTTGTTTTTTCTCATCAATTCACTTAGTAGGTGTGTTCGTGAGTGAGTGATGTGCAGGCAAGAGGAGGAGAAGTGCCATCTATTGCAGCACAGAGGCAGCAGAGAAAGCCTCTAGATGGCTCTGGATAAAGAGGGCGGATCCGTAATCGAGTGCTGCTAGGGCACAAGCTGAGGCTTGATCAACCTCAGCTGGGTCGCCTGATGTTTGAAAGACCCGAAACACCCGATGACCTCAGGTAACATCACTGATGATGTGCCCTAACTATGCATCAGAAGATGTGTCATTTCAATATAGTGGCAAGAAAAAGTATGTGAACCTTTTGGTATTTCATGGTTTTCTGCATTAATTTTTCATAAAATGTGATCTGATCTTCATCTAAGTCGAGAGTACTGATGAATATAATGTGCCTAATATAACAACACACAAAAAAAATTCTGATCTTTCATTGTCTCTGTAATGGTGATGTCCCTAGTTTTACTCTGGTGTGGCCCTTTACTCATCTCATGTCTCTCTCTTCATATTTTCCACCATTCCCTTCTGTCGTCAAGACTGTCCAGGATGCTACTGGTAAGACTGTCTGAAAATTCTGGATTGCAGACTCACTGACATTATGGGAAAATAAAATGAGTGCTGTACCTGCCGGGGAACCTCCTCAGTGACATCTGACCCACATCCTGGACAAAGGCTATCTGGGCTGGGAGACACAGTGTAGCATAGAACACTTACATTGATCAGGTACCATAAACTTTATCAAATGAATTTACAAAGCTCTGCTGATCATGATGTGATGCCAGATTATCTCAGAAAAAAAAAATCAAAACACACTGTCAAAAATCACATCTTTCAGCAACAATCTGTTTACAGGGAGCATTTTACAATATTGGCACCATGACAGAGCAAAATATCAAAATCAGTGTGAGGGAATAGGAAGTTTCACCTAAAAATGCATTACAACAATTATCTGTAAGCATTTAAAGTTAGCAAGGCCACGTATACTGTATTGTGTTTGTGAGTATTACCTTGGTTCCTCATAGGGTTGGTGAGTTTGGCCAGGTATGGCAGAAGTTCAGTCTGCAGACTCACTGGTGTCAGACAGAAGCTCCTGAACAAAGACTGGGCTGCCAGGCAGTTTTCCCGGTACTGACAGGAACAGAATCAGTCTCAGTACAGTCGTAGCTATTGGATCTAAATTCTGCCTCTAGAGGCCGCATCAGAAGCGGCTGGACAACATATGTCCACTTGTTCTTGGTTAATCCATTCTTTATCACCCTTTGTCAGCTCAGAAATATTTTATATATTCAAGGATGTTGCTAGGGGGATTTTATTATCCTATTAAGGATTGACATCTTTGATGTTTTTGCTTGATCCACCTATAGTCCATTACAATAAAACCACCGACAACTGTCACAGACAGTGCTTCACAGTTTGTGCCTTTGGCACTGGTCTTTCAGACAACCTATACTTATTCTTTTGTAGAATGATTACAGGTAAATTCTGATCTTCCACTTCAACAATATGCAGGTTTTATTTGGTGTTTTTTGGATTTTGGCTGTGCATGTGTGTGATAACGAGTCCGGTTCTATCACACTTAATAACACTGGCTTATTAGAGTTATACTGATCTCATTAAGTTGATCAGTAAATGTCAGGAGAGATGTGTCCATCCATCCATTATAGTGCTTTATTATCTACCGCAGGACTATGAGTACGGTTCTATCACACTTAATAACACTGGCTTATTAGAGTTATACTGATCTCATTAAGTTGATCAGTAAATGTCAGGAGAGATGTGTCCATCCATCCATTATAGTGCTTTATTATCTACCGCAGGACTGACACCGAGAGACAAACAACCACTCACAACTACTGGCAATTTAAAGCTATCAGTCAGCCTAAGCTGCATGTCTTTGGACTGTGGGAACAAAGTACCTGGAGGAAACCGACACAGGCACAGGGAGAACATACAAACTCCACAGGCTCCAGCCAGGCGCAAGGTTCAAACTTCTTGCTGTTAGGTGACAGTGCTAATCACTATATCCCTGTGCCACTGCCTCTCAATCCTTAAACCTCAGCTAAGCTAATGACAGAGCAACATCCTCAGTGTGTCTTACCTTCTTGCTGACTAGTATCCAGCTGGGTTTGTGCAGAGGTCTGAAGCCAACGGAAACTTGTTGGGAGTTGGAATGAAGGAGACCTCTGGTGGCCACTGAAGACCCATAATCCTCCATGGTGCTTCGACTCTGAAAACAGCACAGTACAGTCCTTTATGTAGACAACACAGTTCACAGGAAGTCCACCACTGACCATACTGTTAAGGGTACACAGGCACTGTAAACAAATAAATGCTTATTACTTATATTTCTCTGCTGTAGTACCACCTGCTACACAGGGGAAAGGACTGGTATTGGTAGAACTTTCTAGAGTTGTAAAATACTGTCTCTTTATGAAAACCCACATTAAAGCCTTAAACTACCTGACATGTTTATTTACAGTAAAGCTGGCTTCCTGGGTGTCATCTGTACCTTTTTAACATAAGACTATTTTCAGTGTGAATGCCTGCTAATACTGTTAGCAGGCAAACTTCCCCCTTCTATTTTGCAGAGGCCACAAATATTTGTAGGTCTGGGCAACAAACTGGTGGTATGCTTTATTTTTGTTTTAGCAACTCCTTCCATACAGTGTAGGAAAATAACAGAAACACTTCAGATTCTACCAATCAAAGCATTCTATTTAGCTTTAAACGTCTAGAGAAAGACTGACCGTCCAATCAGCAGTGAGGAGATCAGCATCAGACAGGTACTCGCTGGCTTGGTCGACATCCTCCATCTCAGAGAAGAAGTCCAGGTAGTTTTGGTGGAGGTAGAGGTTGAAGAATTCTCCAGACATGTGTGAACATTCAACAACCAACTGAAGAAAGAGACACAGACAGTTGAGTTCTGAGTCTAAAACATTAAAGAGATCTCAAGATGTTTCAGCTAGGACAGGGATGTTAGATCTTTATGAGTTACCTCAGGGTCCACTAATAAGCCTTCTCTGTGATGATGAGACAGGTGAGATGGCAGACCAGATCCAGGGCCACCTCCAGCTGCTTCAGTGCCTTCATGATCCCCCCCTGTTGATGACGACCAAGCATACAAACTATTTTGCCTCAGTGACTGAAGTACTGTCATATTTGATCGGCCAGAACCACAGTGCAGCAGTCAGTGCTCAGGTGCTTGCTACTGCAAAGGACTTTTAGTAAGAAAATTAGCATGATGTACAGACAGAAACTGACTATGTGGTTTTTCACACACTGGAAACTGTGCTTCTTCAGTAGCAGATTCCTTTTATTGATTATAGTGGATGATCTAAGATTTATAAATAAGCTCTGGTCACTGTGGTTTTCCATAAACATTACTTAACCAAAACAGCATTTGGGGGGGGCTGTTTTTAGCAGCGGATTAATCCACACTTAGTGCTGTAGCATTTTGGCATCAGTGTATGTGGAACTGAGTTAAAATCAACTACAGTGCATGTGTTCACGGTCATAAAAGAACATGGCACCCATTGCAACAGTGTGACTAGCTGATGTGTTTGTAATAGTTTGTGGACAATTATCGAGTTCTATCACACAAATAAATAAGATATATCAGGCTTTGACACACACAAACATGTTAGTAGGAAACTTTCAGCGTTGGTTTGGGTCTCTGTAGAAACCCTTATAGGAACAAAACTGACTGAAACTTGTCTAGAAACTGGGTCTTACGTTTACAGTGCAGGATCTTTCCCAGTGCTCGGAACAGGAACAAAGAAGCATCTTTCCCTCCAATAGCCTGCTCCTTTGTCTGTTTGGACTTCCGCTGGTTTGTTCTGGAAACAGCTTTGCCCAGTGAAGCAACCGGTCTGTCCTCCTTCATATTCCACAGCCCCTTTTCTAGTGACATATCTGGAAAGTGACAATGAAGAAGTAGAAGCTCTGAAGTCAGTTGGTGACATAAGGAAACAACATTTGATGTGAATACCATTAAAATCAACAGGGATTCACAGCAAATTTGATGGTGTGCATGTGGACATTCTGATCTGTGGTGGTGAGGTGTGTGAATTACTTCTCACCTGGGACCGAGGAAAACTGGAGGCTGTTGATGGCACTGCGAATGTCTCCTGAGCTTCCTGAACACAGCGACTCCAACACTGCCTGATCTGGGACACGCATCCTCCCGCAGCTCTGCTTAGATTTATCATAAAATATATTAGGGAAAAAAAAAACATGAAAAAAATTGTACCAAAATGTGCAATCAACTGCAAGGTTTCCTCTCACTTTTCCTGCCTCCAGGCTTGAAATGCGGGTCAGGATCTTCACCATTGCGGTTGGAGCCACTGGATTAAAACTGGTAAAAGAAAATACACAAAACAATGTTCAGGGGAACCCAGTGGTGGCCTGGAAAGAATCTTTAAGAAGATCTACAGAGGTTGGTGGGATGAATGGTTTTATTCAATATTCTGTTAATCCACATTTGATTACCAGACATTCTCAAATAAAGTCTAAGACAAATTATATCAACAGAAATAAATAAACACACCAAGAGGTGATGGAGTTACCTGTACTATAAGGGCTCACATTGTGAAGGGGAAATCTAGATATTTTCTTTGTACATTTGACCATGAATGTACAAATCTTACATACAGTATGTTCTCAGTCCAGCCGGATTTGAACTGTATCTAATAGCAGTATTTGAGGTCTAATGTGGCTATTCATAAAGATCTAACATCCCTGTCACAGCCAACAGTGTGCAGCATTTGAAACCTGATGCTGCTGATGTCCAGCTCCTCCTGGATCTCTCTGGGAAAAAGAAGGCGTGAGCTGCTGTCTCCACTCGCACAGTCTGACACTATGAACACCAGAGGACATCGACTGGTCTTCACAAAGCGCCTGGAAGGAAAGATAGGACACAATCTCAATACAGGTCACAATGCTTTTAAAGTACAAGTTCAGAGCTGTGTCTCATGTCCACCACACTCATCACAGTAACTTCTGGTTTCCTGTGTGAAAGTGGTAAAGAAAATGTAGAATGAAATTCAATCTGCTCTCACCTCAGGTTTTCATGCAGGCTGCCAGGCTGCCTGTAGAATTGGTTTGGGAACTCCTGAGAAAGTGTGGATCAAGCATAAACTCAAATGGGTAACCAAAGCCATCTAAAAAAAAGCTGCTTCAGACTAATGCATCAATTTTGCAATATCATGAAAAGCAAAGGAGCAAGTTAACACACAGCAATTAAGTAAAACAGCATGCATGTAGATGCAGTCAGACAGGAGCCTGTCCTTTTCATTACCGCAATAATGAAAATGTTCCCATGCTGTATAGGTTCAGCATAAATAAAGAGAAGCATGTCAGTGATTTCAGTCTTTAAAGAAGTAGAGGAGACAATTTCCAAGATTCTTTTGATAACATTTACTGGCATCCATCTTTTTTATGACACAATAAACCATTCATTATATTTTGGGCAAAATCCTGGTGAAAGTGCTTATCCTCATTATTATACACACATGATACACATCTCCTAATTTCTACATCAAACTAAGATGATTCTGAAAATTTATTTTAAACATTGGAAGAATTTATAAACCAAGTAATATGAATCTCTTACTGAACCTTTTTAATCACAGTTGCATATTTGATCATTTCTTCTAACAGGCTGTCATTTGTAGCATAGACCTTTAAAGCAGCTAAAACTACAGCCAACTGTTCCACCTAATAGTTTTAAGGGATGTCATAAACACCCAGTGTCCAGTCTAACTCAGAAAGGCACAACTTAAATGTTGGAGAAATGTCAGCTGGGCTACACAGCTGCTGATGAAAAAGACTTTCACAAAATGTGGCTTCAAGAGGAACACAAGCGATTTGTTCATCAGCTAAACCATAACTAGGTCACATACCAGTGATAACACTGCATGGTTAAGACAACAGTATAACTAAAGAACACTACACTTAACCGAAAACAAGAAAGACAAAGCTGGCATGTGTATAACCAAAGTAAGAGTGCAACAGTGAGACCTGTCTCCTTTCCTGTACTAACATACAGAACACATTTCTTAAAGTGAGGTTTTTTTATAATACAATGACTTATGATAGCTGACCTATTATTTTCTCTGTAGCATACTACAGATGTTTAGTTACTATGTAGTTTTCTTTGTTGTTCCAAGTGGTAGGAAAGTGTTCACTGGTAGTGCCTATATGGCTCATTAATAATTATTTGTTAAGAAGGTTACAGGTTCGAGCCCCGGCTGACCAAGAGCCTTTCTGTGCAGAGTTCGCATGTTCTCCCTGTGCCTGCTTGGGTTCTCTCCGGGTACTCCGGCTTCCTCTCAAAGTCCACAGACATGCAGTTTAGGTTGATTGGTGACTCTAAATTTCCCGTAGGAGTGAGTGTGAGTGTGTGTGGTTGTCTGTCTGGAAGTGTCAGCCTTGAGATAGACAGGCAACCTGTCCAGGGTGGACCCCGCCTCTCGCCCAGTGTAAGCTGGGATTGGCGCCAGCCCCCCCATGAGCATGTTCAGGGTAAGCGGTATAGATAATGGATGGACGTTTGTTTGTACTATATACAGTATAATTCTCTGGAGGTACAGTTTTGTTTTTGGTAATTAGACCTATTGGACAGAATGCTATAAGGAGCCCCTATGAGGTTTTCAGAGGCTCAGATCTGAGGACTTGACCTGATTATAGGTAACCACATGGTACACCTGTTGGTAAAAAGCATAAACATAAACTTTATTGCCAAGTATTATCAAAAATACAAGGAATTTGACTCCAAGACCAATGGGCCCCGATGTGCACAGCAATAAAAACAAAATAAATACACAATATATACAAGTTAAAGAGGACAACTTAAAAGAGCAAATGTAGACTAGTTGTTCAAGAGTCTAACAGTCTGGGGGAAGAAACTGTCTCTGTATCTGGTTGTCTTGGCATACAGTGACCTGTAGCAACATCCAGAGGGGAGGAATTCAAAGAGTTTGTGTCCAGGATGTAAGTGGTCCACAGAATTCCTCTCTGCCCTCCTTTTGACCTGTGAGGTGTACAGGTCCTCCATGGAGGGCAGGCTGGCACAGATGATTTTCTCTGCAGCTCTGACTGTCCACTGGATTCTGTTCCTGTCCTGTTTAGTTGCCAAGCCAAACCAGACAGTGATGGTAGTAGAGAGAACTGACTTGATGATTCCCCTATAAAACTGAATTAGCAGCTCCTGAGGCAGGTCTAACTTCCTGAGCTGACACAGGAAGTACATCCTCCACTGTGCCTTTTTAATGATGGCATTGATGTTGGTTGTCAACTTCAAGTCCCGAGAGACTGTGGAGTCCAAGAACTTGTAGGACTCCATGACTGAAACAGTGCTGCTGAGTATAGTGAGCGGAGATAGGGTGGGGGAGCTCCTCATAAAACCCACTATCATCTCCACTGTCTTCCATGTGTTCAGCTCCAGGTTGGTACAACCACATCACAGGCCCAGCTGTTCAACCTCCCATCTGTAGGCTGACTCATCACAGTCTTGAATGAGGCCAATGACCATTGTGTTGTCTGCAAACTTCAGTATTTTTACAGAAGGGTCTCCTGAGGTGCAGTCATTAGTATAGAGGGAGAACAACAGTAGGGAGAGCACACATCCCTGGGGAGCACCTGTTCTGATAGACTGGGTGCTGGGTGTGGTTTTCCCAGCCTCACCTGCTGCTTCCTGTCCATCAGAAAGCTGATGATCCACTGACAGGTGGGGGCAGGCACAGTGAGCTGGGTAAGTTTGGAGTAGAGGATGTCTGGGATGATGGTGTTAAATGCTGAACTTAAGTCCACAAATAGGATCCGTGCATAGGTCCCTGGTGAGTCAAGGTGTTGCAGGGTGTAATTCAGTGCCATGTTGACTCCATCATACACTGACCTATTTGTTTGGTAAGCAAACTGCAGGGAATCCAGCTGGGGGTCTGTGATTGCCTTCAGGTGGGCCAATACCAGTCTCTCAAAACACTTAAGGACTACAGATGTCAGGGTGACAGGTCTGTAGCCCTTCAGTTCCCTGATGGAGGGTTTCTTGGGAACTGGGATGATGGTGGAGCGTTTAAAACAGGAGGGAACTACACAAAGTTTCAGTGATCTATTAAAGATCTGCATGAAGATGGGAGCCAACTGGTTGGCACAGACTTTACTGATCTTTTACTTTCTAGAAAGGCAACACACATCTCTTTCACGGATCCTCAGAGGAGGTGGGCTGATGGGGGGAGAGGTAGTCCTGGAGGAAGCAACTACTGGTTGCGGGTCCAAGATGAGGTTAGGGAGGGGTGTAGAGTTCTACCTCTCAAAACAATAGTCAATTGATAGCTCTCCACAGGGGTGGGGTCTCCTGTACCCGGTGATGTTCCATAGACTCCTCCACACTGATGACGGCTCATTGGCCCAAAACTGATTTTTCAGACTTTCCGAGTAGTTCCTCTTTGCTACTCTGATCTCCTTTGTCAGTGTGTTTCTAGCCTGGTTATACAGAGTCCTATCACCACTTCTGTAGGCCTCCTCTTTGGCATGACAAAGCTGTTTGAGCTTTACTGTGAACCAAGGCTTACTGTTGTTGTATGTGTGGACAGTCTTAATGGGCACACACATGTCCTCACAGAAACTGATATACGATGTCACTGTGTCAGTATACTGATCCAGATCTATAGCTACAGCCTCAAAAAAAACACCCCAGTCTGTGCAGTCAAAGCAGGCTGATGGGGAGAGAGGTAGTAGCTTTGACTTTGCCTCTTCAGTCCATATTTTCACCTTTTTGACCACAGGCTTTGCAGCTTTAAGTTTCTGCCTATAAGTAGGAATGAGGTGGATCATCCAATGGTCTGAAAGCCCAAGGGCTGCACAGGGAACAGAGCGATAGGCATCCTTAATTACTGTATAGCAATGGTCCAGTGTGTTTTTGTCCCTGGTGGGACAACTGAAATGTTGTCTGCATTTGGGCAATTTGTGAGTAAGGTTTGCACTGTTAAAATCACCAAAAATAATAAGCAGGGAGTCTGGGTGTTTCTCTTCAATCTTTATTATCCAGTTGGCTACGAGCTGCAACGCATTTCTGATGCAGACCTGTGGCGAAATACTATAAGTACCAACCAGGATAAATGAGGAAAATTCTCTAGGAGAATAAAAAGGTTTACAGTTAATGGATAGTGTCTCTAAGTCTGAGTTACAAGTTCTCTTCAGCACTGTAATGTCCCTACACTAACCTCTGTTAATGTAAAAACAGATGCTTCCTCCTCTCTTTTTTCCCCAGATAGTTTCCAGTTTCCACCATTGATGAAAACCAGGGAAAAATATCCAGACTGAGCTGTCAAAAGCTCATCCCTAGTAAAAGTAATCCAGGCAGGGTTGCAGTGACCAAAACCAACAAGAACAATAACAACAACAACAACAAAAACACATGGGAGCACACGTCTGAGGCAGCCCTGGTTGGCACCATAAAGCAATGATGACTTGACCATTGAGGCAGCCCTGGTTGGCACCATAAAGCAATGATGACTTGACCATCCTGTGCTCAGTGCTCATACAATATGAGACAGTTTGAAAACCAAAAAAAAAGGAAAAATTTCATTGATCTGAATCTCCTATAGCCTTTCAGCTGCGAAATGAATAGGAATGAAACACTGGGGTAAACAGAGTGACATGAGCTTCAGTTGAAAGTGTAGTACATACCTCTACCAGTATGAGCTTCCTGTGTGTAGTTCCTCCATCACCAGCCATGTTCAGGCAGTTGTATTTGTTGGCTCTGAGAAGGAACTCCTGGAACTGGGCTAGCTGGGAGCTGTAAGAAAAGCCGTTCATCCTGAATTCTGACAAATGACAGAAAATTGGAAACATCAGACAAACAGGTTGGATAAGCCTACACACATGATGGTGTGGATAGGTATAGGTACAGTGCCTTGCGAAAGTATTCGGCCCCCTTGAACTTTGCAACCTTTTGCCACATTTCAGGCTTCAAACATAAAGATATAAAACTGTAATTTTTTGTGAAGAATCAACAACAAGTGGGACACAATCATGAAGTGGAACGAAATTTATTGGATATTTCAAACGTTTTTAACAAATAAAAAACTGAAACATTGGGCGTGCAAAATTATTCAGCCCCCTTAAGTTAATACTTTGTAGCGCCACCTTTTGCTGCGATTACAGCTGTAAGTCGCTTGGGGTATGTCTCTATCAGTTTTGCACATCAAGAGACTGAAATTTTTGCCCATTCCTCCTTGCAAAACAGCTCAAGCTCAGTGAGGTTGGATGGAGAGCATTTGTGAACAGCAGTTGTCAGTTCTTTCCACAGATTCTCGATTGGATTCAGGTCTGGACTTTGACTTGGCCATTCTAACACCTGGATATGTTTAGTTGTGAACCATTCCATTGTAGATTTTGCTTTATGTTTTGGATCAGTGTCTTGTTGGAAGACAAATCTCCGTCCCAGTCTCAGGTCTTTTGCAGACTCCATCAGGTTTCCTTCCAGAATGGTCCTATATTTGGCTCCATCCATCTTCCCATCAATTTTAACCATCTTCCCGGTCCCTGCTGAAGAAAAGCAGGCCCAAACCATGATGCTGCCACCACCATGTTTGACAGTGGGGATGGTGTGTTCAGGGCGATGAGCTGTGTTGCTTTTACGCCAAACATAACGTTTTGCATTGTTGCCAAAAAGTTCGATTTTGGTTTCATCTGACCAGAGCACCTTCTTCCACATGTTTGGTGTGTCTCCCAGGTGGCTTGTGGCAAACTTTAAACGACACTTTTTATGGATATCTTTAAGAAATGGCTTTCTTCTTGCCACTCTTCCATAAAGGCCAGATTTGTGCAGTATACGACTGATTGTTGTCCTATGGACAGAGTCTCCCACCTCAGCTGTAGATCTCTGCAGTTCATCCAGAGTGATCATGGGCCTCTTGGCTGCATCTCTGATCAGTCTTCTCCTTGTATGAGCTGAAAGTTTAGAGGGACGGCCAGGTCTTGGTAGATTTGCAGTGGTCTGATACTCCTTCCATTTCAATATTATCGCTTGCACAGTGCTCCTTGGGATGTTTAAAGCTTGGGAAATCTTTTTGTATCCAAATCCGGCTTTAAACTTCTCCACAACAGTATCTCGGACCTGCCTGGTGTGTTCCTTGTTCTTCATGATGCTCTCTGCGCTTTAAACGGACCTCTGAGACTATCACAGTGCAGGTGCATTTATATGGAGACTTGATTACACACAGGTGGATTCTATTTATCATCCTTTGTCATTTAGGTCAACATTGGATCATTCAGAGATCCTCACTGAACTTCTGGAGTGAGTTTGCTGCACTGAAAGTAAAGGGGCTGAATAATTTTGCACGCCCAATTTTTCAGTTTTTTATTTGTTAAAAAAGTTTGAAATATCCAATAAATTTCGTTCCACTTCATGATTGTGTCCCACTTGTTGTTGATTCTTCACAAAAAAATTACAGTTTTATATCTTTATGTTTGAAGCCTGAAATGTGGCAAAAGGTTGCAAAGTTCAAGGGGGCCGAATACTTTCGCAAGGCACTGTACATGGCATTATTTATCACATTGAACCTGCTAGCTTGCATTCACCGCCATTTACAAATACTGTGTGGACACAGCCTCAAAAAAGTGTTCACTTTGAGGTTATTTTTCAATCAAAGGCCATTTTTGTTTATATTAATGATAACTTAATCCTAATTCTTAGTTTTACAGTGACACTGACGGGTTCATCTCTGCCCTCTGGCAGATAGTAAGAATTCTCCTCACCCTGCTGACTGCTGCTGCTGTATGGCTCCAGATTTGTGGGGTTAGTCCACTCTTGAATTCTGAGGCCCAGCTCCCGAGATAAAACCTGGACTGTAGCAGTCTTTCCACAGCCTGATGGTCCTGTCAGCAGCAAGATACCACCCTGTAGATTACAACAGGTTCATTAAACCTGAACCTAGAGTATCACTTATGACCTCCACAGACAACATTTTTAGATCATCCCAGCTCAGACTACAAAAGTAACTCTTGATATGTCATGGCCAAAGCACCACTTTCCATTAATTAGGCAAAATTATTCACAGTCAATAATATAAGACTAGTCTGGGGCCAAGGTTTAGTTCCTTAATTGCTAATTATAAGAATGAAAAATAAAATCTCAGTTACCTTTGGTGAGTTTGCGTGAGCTCTTATCCAGTTCTCTACTTCTTCTATCTTCTTCTTGTGAACGGCTAGCTCAACCTACACAAACACACATTGTAACCATTACTAAAGTCTAAAAGGTTCAGACTTGAACCTTTATCAGAGTTAACAACACTTCACTCTCCAGGGACTCAAAGACAATAAAACAGAACCCCTGATCACTGCTGCTGGGGGGGAATTAATGAATATCAACTATGATGACTAACATCACACCTGATGAAGACACTGGTGAGGCTGGTGCTGGTTCATCTCTGCCCTCTGGTGAGCTTATCTATGGACCAACTTCAGTTTGCCGACCAGCCTGGCATCATGGTGGATGATGCCACCATCTACAGTGGATCCAGAAAGTATTCACAGCGTTTAACTTTTTCCACATTTTGTTATGTTACAGCCTTATTCCAAAATAGATAAAATTCATTAGTGTTCTCAAAATTCTACAAACAATACCCCATAATGACAAGGTGAAAAAAGTTTGTTTGAAATCTTTGCAAATGTATTAAAAATAAAAAATGAAAAAGTCACATGTACGTAAGTATTCACAGCCTTTGCCATGACACTCCAAATTGAGCTCTGGTGCATCCTGTTCCCACTGATCATCCTTGAGATGTTTCTACAACTTGATTGGAGTCCACCTGTGGGAAATTCAGTTGATTGGACATGATTTGGAAAGGCATACACCTGTCTATATAAGGTCCCACAGTTAACAGTGCATGTCAGAGCACAAACCAAGCCATGAAGTCCAAGGAATTATCTGTAGATCTCCGAGCCAGGATTGTATCAAGGCACAGATCTGGGGAAGGGTACAGAAACATTTCTGCAGCATTGAAGGTCCCAATGAGCACAGTGGCCTCCATCATTCGTAAATGGAAGATGTCTGGAACCACCAGGACTCCTCCTAGAGCGGGCCGCTCGGCCAAACTGAGCGGTCGAGAGAGAAGGGCCTCAGTCAGGGAGGTGACCAAGAACCCGATGGTCACTCTGAAAGAGCTCCACATGGAGCTTGAAAGGTACTGTAAAGAAGAATGAGAGAAACTGCCCATAAATAGGTGTGACAGGCTTGTAGCACCATACTCAAAAAGACTTGAGGCTGTAATTGGTGCTAAAGGTGCTTCAACAAGTATTGAGCAAGGGCTGTGAATACTTATGTACATGTTATTTTTTTTCTTCCGTTTTTTAATTTTTAATACACTTGCAAAAGATTTCAAACAACCTTTTTCACATTGTTGTTATGGGGTATTGTTTGTAGAATTTTGAGGACAATAATGAATTTAATCCATTTTGGAATAAGGCTGTAACATAATAAAACATGGAAAAAGTTAAGCTCTGTGAATACTTTCTGGATGCACTGTACCTCTTACAGGCTGCAACAATGAGCATTGCTCCCACTAGAATGCAACTTAATGTTGTGTGAATAAGGTTTAGCAGCTGTGATTTCAAACTATGTTGAACTATAAAGCAACAAAGCGGATAGAGAGAACAGTTAAGGTTCCACTCCAGAAACATTTTAATATAATTTTTTTGCATATAAAAATACTCTGTTACTGTATAAACAATATATAGTCTAACATAGCTTTTCCTCAAAGAAAAAAAGTGAACCTCTGTAATAGGCCTCAACATTTGCCCCTTATTGTGCATTCCAGGATCTATGAATATTTAAATGTTATGCAAATATTGGCAGCCCCCCACCCACACACACACACACACACCTGCTGCTTCCCCCACATAGACCAGTGAATTCACTGTATCAGGATAAGATGCAGGAGTGAAAACTGAAAAGATGTAGCAGTTTATATGCGAGACATTCACCCATTACGTAGCTTTACTGTATGAAATGTACAGTCATGGCCAAAATTATTGGCACCCTTGCATTTCTGTCAGATAAGGCACCACTTCTCACAGAAAATTGTTGCAATCACATTCTTTGGTATTCTCATGTTAATTTCTTTTGTTTGCATTGGAACAACACAAAAAGCAGAGGAAAAAAAAGCTAAATCTGATCCATTCCACACAGAACTCCAAAAATGGACTGGACAGAACTACTGGCACCCTCAAATTAATACTTGGTAGCACACCCTCAGGACAAAATAAATCAATAAAATCAGTCACTTCCTGTAACCAGACACATTTTTTTCACCTCTCTACTGGAATTCTGGACCACTCTTCTTTTGCCAGCTGCTCCAGGTCTCTCAGATTTGAAGGCTTCCTTCTCCCAGCTGCTGTTCTGAGATCTCTCTACAGGTGATCTATAGGATTTAGATCTGGACTCATTGCTGGTCACTTCAGAACTCTCCACCTCATTGTCTGAAACCTTTTTGAAGTTTGGGTCATTGTCCTGCTGTGTAAGACCCAGGACCTCTGACGGAGACCCACCTTTCTGACACTGGCCTCTACATTATGCCCCAGAACTCACTGGTAGTCTTCAGATTTCATAATGCCAAACACACAGTCAAGACATCCAGAGCCTGAAGCAGCAAAGCAGCCCCAAAACATCAGTGAACCTCCACCGTGTTTGACTGTAGGGACCCTGTTCTTTTCTTTGAAGGCCTCATTTCATTTTCTGAAAACAGTAGAATGATGTGCTCGACCAAAAAGCTCTGTTTTAGTCTCATCTGTCCACAGGACATTCTCCCAGAAGGGCTGTATCTTCCTCAGGTTAATTTAGGCAAAGTTTTGAGTGCAGTGGGTCTTTAAAATAGGATTATGTAAAAATAACTGCAGACCAACTTACTAATGAAAGTTACTAATTATGCCTCCATGCCGGTGATAGCCATGGCTGGGGGCTTTATGTTTTTGAGTTGTCCAAACCATTGTCATGAATACAATATCTCAGAAACGCCTTGCGGGTATTGTGAAAGAAAACTCATTTATGTATTTATCATTCACTTATATATTAATCATAATTCTTGATCATTTGTGTTTATGTAAAGACAGAAGCTCTCTCTCCCGTTTTTCTTCTCAGTAAAGCCTTAACTAATGTCTCATAATGTATTTTACCCCCTGTGGTCTAATCTGACACCCTGACTGACTTGATATGATGACAGAGCACTTCAGACACATCACATATGACCAAAGTCTGCAAGTACAATAACTGGTTTCAGACCAGCAACTGACTGAATTCAAATGTATTCATGGATACTGGAACAAACTGTGACAACGCTGACCTGTGAACGTGGCAAGTATCTGTCTACCCAGGGCTCATCCTGGTCCCTCTGGGCTGATTCTTTCAACACATGAGGGTCTGAGCTTCTGACTTTTCCTTTCCTCTTCCTTGGCCTCTTGGGCTCAGCCTGAGAGCACAAAACCTGACTGTCTGTTCTCCTTCCAGGCCGTGAAAAGCTGTCCGTTGGCAAATCAGTGAAAGATTGATGCACCCAGCGGCTTACCTGCTATAAACACAGTAAAACGTAAATTTATTAAAGGTTCACAAAGGAACAGTTGAAGGAGATTAAAGCTGTATTAAAAATTACCAGACCCCTTTATGTACTCAGAGAAAAGTGAACTGAGGTGGGCAGAAAATATATATTTACCAATGTTTGCATTTGAAGGATCAGTGACATTTAACTTGCATTTTTGTCAGGCTATATTTCACCAGATTTTATCAGAACCTTTTATTTTAAGTGCTTGTTGTCATCACCAACCTCTGGTGGGTCTGGGATGCACAGAAAAGCCAACAACTTTATGGCAGTTGATAGCATTTCAAGCCAGTCACCCAGCCATTCCAGCCTCATCTGAACCTTGAATATTCAGCTGAGAGCTATGGAAATCTGACAGTCTGCTTGCATAAAAAGCAAAACCCCAGAATGTAAAACTTATATTCCAAGACAATACAATGTTTTGAGGACATTTTACTATTTCTCTAATTTTCCATGCCTTTTTCAAGAGTGGAAAACTAGTCTTAAATTCCAGGACCACTGGATGATTTATTGCAGGACTGTGGCATTAGTTTCAGCAATGTGGTCCTCATAAACTGACAACATAGTGTGTGAGTGTGTGTGTGTGTGTGTGTGTGTGTGTGTGTGTGTGTGTGTGTGTGTGTGTGGGGGTGTGTGT